TATTAAAGTCATAACGAATTAGATGCTACAGAAAGAAGAGAATTTTGAAAGAAACATAATCGAGACAAAAATTTAAATGAGAAGTATAATAACAAATATTGCATGTGATTTTAGTATTGAAGATGAGCCAATAAAAAATAATAATAAGAGAAGAGCAAAAATCTTTCCAGATAATAAAATGGTAAAATGGTAAAAATGTAAAAAAAAATAAAATTAGTAATCTATAGATACATCAAACACGTTGATATAATTATTTAATTATTTATGTATGTTGGTCATTAAATTTTAATAAATTCATTGATTGATTAAATAGATAATTATATTGTATTATATTGTAGTAAAGAGTCGATTATTTATTTTTAATCAATTCAATTATAATTTTCTAGTTGCTAGTTTAAACTTATTCTTTTTTTCCAAATTGCTTATCTGCTCCATGATCAATTTTTGGTTTGCCCTTCATTGACCAACTCTAACTATATTATTTCAATAATTTATTGCATCCACCTCTTTAGTATCTTCTTCGTTCGATTTCTTATCTTGCATAATCATTTATTTATAGAATTCTTTTTAATTAATCTTAATTAAAAATAACTAGATTAGGTACGTGTCGCGTGTGTTTTTTACTTATTATATTAATAGACTTAAATTGTTTATTAATTAATTAATTATTTATTTATTGATATTATAATAAATGAAAAAAAATTATTACAAACAATAATAGAAAATTCTTTCTTTCATTTGAGATAACGAAAAATAATCAGGAAATAATTTTACCCCCCCAAAAAAAAGTTGTGACGGGTTTATTAGAAAATAACGAAGCCATATATCACATAGATATGGAAAAAACAATTATTAAAAAGAAAGTCATTTCATTAAACATCCGCTGTGTTGCTGTGCTACCGTGCGGGTATTCACTAAAAACGTGAACAACCAACAAGAATATGTCCTAATAAAATTTAGCAAACAAATTTAGAGTATAGGGTAACACAATAATCATAAATATATAAATAAAATAAGCATACAAATCAAAATTAAATTGGTGCTACCTATTTTGAGACAGTTACACGAAAAAAAATGGAAAAAAAGAATAGAAAGGAATTCTAATTTCATATCTCAACTATTATTAACAACAAATAAAAAAGTACAAATAATTGAATTAATTTAATGCATGAATGCATAGCATAAATTATTGAATTCTTTCATTTATTAATTAAATGATTGGTAACGTTAGAATAATAACGAAACCGAACATTCTCCCAATTGGGTATCTTCCCAATTAGTCAAATAAAGATTAAAGAAAAAAATAAAAAATCAATGGGAAACAAATAATAATATAATACAATTAAGTTAATGTAAATAATAATTTCCTTTATTATTAAGGTAACGAATTATTCATCGAGGAAATTATTAAATACGTTATATAGCGCTTGGCATAGCATAATTTATTGAATACAGCATTGAATTTTTTTAAAAGTCAATAACGTATAAACAATAAACAAAATAAACACCAACTAATTATAGTAAAAAAAGTTAATTAATGTTTCAGCTTTAAAGATTATTTCGGAATTAAAGAGTATGATCAAATTAATTATAAATACTCTCCAGCTTTCAGAATTCCAACAAAACTTACAGTCAATAATTTTAAGTGGATCCCACCATTATAAACTGATCCTTCCTTACAAACCCACATAAAACAAAGATGGGTTTTCGTATTTTCGTTTGTCTCTCGATTCTTTTATCTTTCTTCATTACAACAGAAGTATATGGTCATTGGTGCATTGCCACGGCCACTTCTACACTTTCTCACACTAAAACAGTATGCGGTAAAAGACATCATCGGCCAACTGGGCTTATTTGTGGTCATCCCGAGAAAAGACATGTCCCAAGATGCTCCTGGACAACAACTCGCACTGTTGCTACTGTTACCTGCACCCCGGTGGTATATAAAAAGACTTGTCGTCATCCACATCATCATCATCATCATCATCATCATCATCACTCAAGTGTCAAGCACACAACCACTTGCACAAAGACTAAATTACCAAATGTAAAGCCCACAACCAGTTGCACGACTAAACATCCAAATATAAAGCACAAAACCACTTGCACGAAGAGTACAAAGCGCACAACCACTTGCAAGACTAAGCACACAACCATTTGCACGAAGTGTAGACAACATCATCATCACACAACCACTTGCAAAACGACTAGACGCACATCTTGCAAAACGACCAAACCCAAAACTTCTTGCTCTACAACTTCAGTTGAAGTAGATGTCACGGAAACCGAACCAACTACCACTTGCTCTACCACTAGACGCACATCTTCTTGCAAAACGACCAAACCCAAAACTTCTTGCAAAACGACTAAACGCACATCTTCTTGCAAAACGACCAAACCCAAAACTTCTTGCTCTACCACTTCAGTTGAGGTAGATGTCACAGAAACCGAACCAACTACCACTTGCTCTACCACTCCCACTTCCGAAGTCGAAGTAACTGACTCTACTACTTGCTCTACCACTCCCACTTCCGAAGTTGAAGTAACTGACTCTACTACTTGCTCTACCA